TATAACAAAAATCTCTCCAAAAAAAAAAAAAAATATATATATATATATACACACACACATGGTTTTTGGAGGAGGAGGAAGGATGCAGAAAGAAAGGGTAAAAATGCTATACATCAGATCTCAGTAATGTTAGAAGATTCACTGAATGGTGCAATAAGAAAATTGGATTTGAAGAAAAATGTAATTTGTGACAAATGTAAAGGCCAAGGTGGTAAGGTAGAATGGCTTTCTGTCTTCTGATAAACTCTCTTTAAAGGAAAAACTCCTATGGACTGAGAGGATGGAAATATTAGGTCATTGGGAAGTCATGACACATTTTTGCACAGAAAAACAGAAAAATATATCATGATTTTCCTGATGACCCGATAGAAGAAACATAATAAATGGATCAGGCAGAACTGGTAACTTTGCTTCAAATAATGAAAGGTAGCACCATTAGAATGGAGAATCATAGAGGAAAGAGGGGACAATATTATCAACCTTAGAGAAATTAATATTACAAGGGATTATGAAGAATAGTTGTATACCACAACAAATCAGATAGACTAGATGAAATGGCAATTCCCAGAAATGCAGAAACTACCAAAATGGACATTAGAAGAAATATAAACTCTAAGCAAGTCTATAATAAGAAAATGTATTAGTAATAGTTTTATAATTCACACACAGAAAAACACCACAGACAGCTTAACTAACAAATTCTACCAAATACTTAAAGAAATGTTACCAATACTGCACAAATTACTCCAAAAAACAGAAGAGGAATGACTTGCCAATTCATTCTCTGGAGCCAGTATAATACAGAGAACCAGACAAAATTGTCAAAGGAAAATGATAACCCAATATCCCTGTAAATATGAATGTATAAGTCAGGAAAATACTAGCAAACTATATCTACATATATAAAAATAATTTTACAGTATAAATCCAGAAAAATATTAGAAGGATTGTAAACCACAATCAACTGGGATTTAGACCAAGAAATGTGCTGAGTTTATAACCCAAAAAACAAACCACATTATATGCAAAATTAACAGAAAGAACAATTACAACATGACCATATTAACAGATACAGAAAGAGCATTTGACAAAAGCCAACACTTATGACTAAGAAAAAAAACAAAGGACCATCAGGTGGCATGGTAGTTAAAGAGCTGGATTCCACACAGCCAACTCTGTGGTTTAAGTCCCAGACCCAGTTTGAGTCCCAGACCCAGTGACTTGAAAAACACACCAGGTGCATGTGCATGCATGCCCCCAAATCCCGGGAGAATGGAGAAGGGACTGCAGCATGGCCATACTCCCAGGGGATGATTTCTC